GAGTGGAGGGAGGGTCAGGTATCCTGTTGACTGCATGTCCTGCAGGGAAACTGAGGCACTCCCAGAGGCCACCTCCCAGCCAAGAGAGAGGACCTCCGGCCCCCTACAGGGGTCCCCCCTTCTTGCTGTCCCTGAGAAGCAGGTGTAGGCACAGCTGAGAATGGAAAGGAGGGAGTGGCCACGCCTCCCTTGGCTCCAGAGGACAGACCCCTGGGCTCCCTCGTGTCCATAGCAACCTGGAAAGAGTAAATTGAATGGCGGTCCGAGGGCAGCGGTTGCTAGGGGAGACAGTCAACTTATTTCATCTCTGGCTTAGTGGCAGCCTCCTTTCCTTTTGAATTGCAAGTAAAATTGAAAGGCTGTTTTGTGCGGGGTGAAGTTTGTGGAAAGGGGTGAGGTGTGGCCGAGAGGGTCCTGGCTCTGGTTCTGAGCATTGGAGAAAGGGGAGGAGAACCCGGCAACGGCCTGAACCCCTCTGTGTCCCAGAGGCAAACAGTACCTGCTTTACACAGATATGCAGTGTGGACACGACACGGGCCCCACACAGAGACACACAGATGCACAAAACAAGCCACAAACAACATAGTGAGACCCTAAAACCAGGCCACACAAAAGCACTCCAATTCACAGAATGTGCACAGCGTAACCCGCACCCACAGATGGTGAGTGCGGGGCTAGTGTCAGAGTCAGCTGGGCTGGGGTGTTGTCCCTGCTGGGTGCCCCCAACCCACTGTGCGCTCTCACACTGCCCTGCTCCTCTCTCACCTCCCTTCTCCCCAACAACTGGGGAAGATCAGGGGCCAGCAGGTGCCTTAAGGGAGTTGAGAGGGTTCCATGGCTGGTAGGGGCAGCCAGAGCCCACAGGGGTCTGAGGATGCAGGGGATGGGAGCTGCCTGGGGGTGGAGGAAGGGCGGCAGCGGCAGAGGCTTTCCTGAGGTGAGGACGAAGGGCGCCTTTTTTTTTTTTAAAGACGGAGTCTTGGGCTGGACACTGTGGCTCGTGCCTGTAATCCCAGCACTTTGCCAGGCTGAGGAGGGCAAATCACGAGGTCAGGAGTTCGAGATCAGCCTGGCCAACATAGTGAAACCCCATCTCTACTAAAAATACAAAAAATTAGCCAGGCGTGGTGGCATGCACCTGTAGTCCCAGCTATTTGGGAGCCTGAGGCAGGAGAATTCCTTGAATCTGGGAGGCAGAGGTTGCAGTGAGCTGAGATCGCGCCATTGCATTCCAGCCCAGGAGACAGCGCGAGACTGTCTCAGTAAAATAAAATAAAAATAAACAAAGATGGAGTCTTGCTCTGTTGCCCAGGCTGGAGTGCAGTGGCGTGATCTCGGCTCACCGCAACCTCCGCCTCCCAGGTTCAAGCAATTCTCCTGCCTCAGCCTCCTGAGTAACTGGGATTACAGGTGCATGTCACCATGCCCGGCTAATTTTTGTATTTTTAGTAGAGACGGGGTTCCATCATGTTGTCCAGGCTGGTCTCGAACCCCTGACTTCAAGTGATCCACCCACCTTGGCTTCCCAAAGTGCTGGGATTACAGGCGTGAGCCACTGCACCCAGCCAGAAGGTGGCATTAATATACAGGCGCTGTATAGGGCAACATCTATGTGCATCTTTTACAAATCTTAATGTTGTATATTTGAGGGGGTTCATTCGTGTCCACCTGGGGATGTTTAAGGTTGCCTGTATGTGTTATTGTGTGCATGTCTTTAAGCTCAGATATGCATATGTTGATTGACAGCTCTGTTTTGAATATATTCCCATGAGCTCATGCCATTAATTCACCATCACAACAAATATTTTACTGAGTGTGAGCCATGCATACCACAGCCACCATTCTAGTACTAAGATACACTGAGGAACAAAAAATCCAGGCTTTCCTGAGCTCACATTGGAGTGGGGGCGTGGTGGGGAAACACAGGCGTCAGTGTAATAAACAGAAACCACGACAGGGCTGAGTGTTCTGGAGGAGAGGCACATGGTGTACTGAGGCCCCTGAGGTTGATCCCACGTGCATCTTTGAGCTTTGCCTGCATAGTTTGGGTTTGTGGGCTCACCTGCATGTGTCCATGCATGCCCCATCTGCATGTCTGTGCATGGCTGCATCACCCCCTGCACATGTGCACTGCCCCTGGGCTTGCCCACATGTGCCTGCTCCCTAGGGTGCCAGACTATCAGCCTACAAGGCATTGTGGGTCTGGTCCCAGCCTGGTGCCCCCTACAGAGGCCTGAGCCTGCCTTCCCAGGAGGCCCAGGACTCTCACCCACGGCCCTTCCCTGCAGCTGGAGCAGACTCTGCGGCTGGAGTCTGGGGAACTGGAGACGCAGGAGCCCAGGGGGCTGGTACGGCAGAGCGTGGAGTTGCGGAGGCAGCTGCAGGAGGAGCAGGCCTCCTACCGGCGCAAGCTGCAGGCCTACCAGGAGGGCCAGCAGCGGCAGGCCCAGCTTGTGCAGCGGCTGCAGGGCAAGGTCAGGGCCACCCACTCCTGCTCCTATCCTCCCACATGTTCACTTTGCACTACCCCAATCCCTGGGGCTCACCATCAGCTCCCCATCCCCAGATTCTCCAGTACAAGAAGAGGTGCTCGGAGCTGGAGCAGCAGCTGCTGGAGAGATCCGGAGAGCTGGAGCAGCAGCGACTGAGGGTGGGTGCCAGGGTGGGGCAGGGGCAGGCCCTGCCCTCTACCTGCCCAGCCTGATGCTTTAACCTTTCTCCTACCCAGGACACAGAACACAGCCAAGACCTAGAGAACGCCCTCATTCGGCTGGAGGAGGAGCAGCAGAGGTGAGGGCGCAGCAGGGAGGGCCAGGGCTGGCAGGATGGCCCCCTGGGCGAGTGCCTGATCCCCTGTGCCCCATTCAGGAGTGCCAGTCTGGCCCAGGTGAATGCCATGCTCCGAGAACAGCTTGACCAGGCAGGCTCGGCCAACCAGGCTCTGAGTGAGGACATACGAAAGGTGACCAGTGACTGGGCACGCAGCCGCAAGGAGCTGGAGCAGCGGGAGGCAGCATGGAGGCGTGAGGAGGAGGTGGGCATGGGGGTGCAGGGAGGTCAGCTTGACCCAAGGGGAAGGTGCATTGGAGAGGGAGCACTGTCCAAGGGAGCATGTTAGCAGAAGTAAATAGCCGTCATCACAATAGCTGGTCTTTATCAATGCGTAGCATGTACCATGTGCACGGTGTGCATTGACCTTTATTCCTCGTAATAACAGCATGTGGTAGGTGTTATCATTCTCCTGATTTTAAAGAGAGGTTAAGGCCAGTTGCTGTGGCTCAGGCCTGTAATCCCAGCACTTTGGGAGGCTGAGGCAGGTGGATCACCTGAGGTCAGGAGTTCGAGACCAATCTGGCCAACATGGTAAAACCCTGTCTCTACTAAAAATACAAAAAATAGCCGTGCATGGTGGCACACACCTGTAATCCTAGCTATTCAGGAGGCTAAGAGATCGTGCCACTGCACTGCATCCTGGGCAACAGAGCAAGACTCTGTCTCAAAATAAATAAAGACAGGTTAAGTAACCTGCCCACAGTCATGCAATTGGCAGCTGGGAGGCAAAGCTAGGTCCCTGGCATTTTTTCCCTTCCTTGCTGCCTCTTGCAGCCAAAAGAGGATTTGAAACCCAGGTCCCTGTGCAGGAGGGAACCATGAGGCTTGGGAGGCTGAGCATGGCTGCTTGGACACAACTCTGCGCACAGGCCCACAGGAAGACCCGCTCCCTTGAATGGTGGTGCCTCCTGGAATGGTTGGAGATGGGGGAAGCTGGGGGAGGGAGTAAACCTGCTCTCACCCCAACCCTTCTCTTGGCATGTCTTCCCTCCAGTCTTTCAACGCCTACTTCAGCAACGAGCACAGTCGCCTGCTCCTCCTCTGGAGGCAGGTAGTGGGGTTCCGGCGGCTGGTCAGCGAGGTGAAGATGTTCACCGAGAGGTGAGGCCTGGCCGGGGACGGGGCAGCAGCTGAGAGCCAGCCCTGCTCTTTACATCCAACTCAACTCAGTTGAATCTTAGTTCAACTCAATGCACCTACTGTGCACAAGGGCGTGTGAGGACACAGAGGCAACTTGTAATAGCCATTACCATAGTCATGGCAGTCAGCATTTATTAGATGTTTACTCTGAGCTAGACTCTGTATATTTCATTTCAACTAATATTCATAGCTTCCCTGTGAAGTAGGAACTGTGTTCATTTCCATTTTACAGATGAGGACATTGAGGCACAGAGAGGTTGAGTGATCTTCCTGAGGTCACACAGTAGTACATAAGTGGCTGAGTCAGAGTTTGAAGTTCCTGATTTTTCTTTTTTTTAAACGGGGTCTCGCTCTGTCACCAGGCTGGAGTGCAGTGGCACGATCTTGGATCACTGCAACCTCTTACCTCCTGGGTTCAAGGAATTCTCCTGCCTTAGCCTCCTGAGTTGCTGGGATAACGGGCATGCCGCCACGCCTGGCTAATTTTTTTTTTGTCTTTTAGTAGAGACGGGGTTTCACCATGTTGCCCAGGCTGGTCTCGAGCTCCTGAGCTCAGGCAATCCGCCAGCTTCAGCCTCCCAAAGTGCTGGGATTATAGGCATGAGCCACCGCACCAGGCCGAAGTTCCTGATTTTAATACACTAGAATATTCAGCTTTGCTACCAAGGACCTCACAGCCTCTAGTGATGAAGAGACGTAGATCCCTAGAATTCTAGACTAAAGAAGCGAGTGGTCAGTGATATGTACATGGGACAGAGAGAATGTCCTGGAGGCTCAGAAGGATGGGAGGGGTGGGGAGGTCAGAAAAACCGCTTTGTGGAGATGGAATTTGCTCAGAGCCTCAAGGAACGGGTAGGGTTGAAGCAGAGCAGCAGGCACTCCAAGTAGAAGCAAGGCATGAGCAAAGGCAGGGAGGTGTGAGCCCATGGCAGCTAGCAGGGTTGCAACGAAGCGCTGGTACAAGGAAAGGAGAGCCTGCCTCAGCAGGGGAGCTTGGGCCTGCCTGATGTTTGAACAGGGGTGTCTGATCAGTGTGAGCAGTCCGCTCAACAGTAGTGTTGGGGAGGCTGTGGAGAGAGCCCCAAAGCAGGGGGCCAAGCTGTTTCATTTAGTGCATTAAAAACCTTTTAGTAATCTTTTCTTTATTTTTTCTTTTCTTTATGGCTCACTACAGCCTCGGCCTCCTGGTCTCAAGCAGTCCTCCTACCTCAGATCCTGTGCAGTTGGGACCACAGGTGCATGCCACCAGGCTTGCTGATTTTTTTATTTCTTGTAGAGTTGAGGTCTCACTTTGTTGCCCAGGCTGGTCTTGAACTCCTGAGCCCAAGTGATCCTCCTGCCTTGACCTCCCAAAGTGCTGAGATTACACACACCTGGTTTAATAATCTTTTCTTAATATCATCAAATAGCCAGGGTCTAGATTTTCCATATGTCTCATAAATGTCACAGATAGGCCAGGTGCAGTGGCTCACGCCTATAATCTCAGTACTTCGGGAGGCCGAGGCAGGCAGATCACCTGAAGTCAGGAATTCGAGACCAGCCTGGCCAACATGGTGAAGCCCCCATCTCTACTAAAAATACAAAAATTATCCAGGTGTGGTGACACACTCCTGTAATCCCAGCTACTGGGGAGGCTGAGGCACCAGACTTGCTTGAACCCAGGAGGCAGAGGTTTCAGTGAGCCGAGATCACACCACTGCGCTCCAGCCTGGGTGACAGAGTGAAACTCTGTCTCAAAAAAAAAAAAAAAAAAAAATTCACAGATAGGAATCTTTCCTACAAAAATACATCTACAGGCTGGGCATGGTGGCTTATGCCTGTAATCCTAGCACTTTGGGAGGCTGAGGCAGGTCAGGAGTTCAAGACCAACCTGGCCAACATGGTGAAACCCTGTCTCTACTAAAAATACAACAATTAGCTGGATGTGGTGACGTATGTCTGTAATTCCGGCTAATTGGGAGGCTGAAGCAGGAGAATCACTTAAACCGGGGAGGCAGAGGTTGCAGTGAGCCAGGATCACACCACTGTACTTCAGCCTAGGCGACAGAAAGAGACTCCATCTCAAAAAAAACAAAAACAAAAACAAAAATTTTAAGTAGCCTTTTAATATTTTTATATTTTACTTTTGATTAAGTCACATGTTCACAAGGTTCACATTTCAAAACAGTACACAGTAAAACGGCTCCCTCTCCCTGCTGACCCCAGATATCCCCCTTCCCTCTTTGGAGGCAAGCAGCATTATCAGCTTTTTTTTCTTTTTATATATACAATTTTTTTCTTTTTTCTTTTTTCTTTTGGCCACCAAGTTACTATGAGACGCATTATCAGTTTCTTTTTTTTTTTTTTTTTTTCCGAGATGGAGTCTCGCTCTGTTTCCCAGGCTGGAGTGCAGTGGCACGATCTTGGCTCACTGCAACCTCCACCTCCCAGGTTCAAGTGATTCTCCCACCTCCACCTCCCAAGTAGCTGGGATTACAGGCATGAGCCACCACACCCAACTAATTTTTGTATTTTTAGTAGAGGCAGGGTTTCGCCATGTTGACCAGGCTGGTCTTGAACTCCTGACCTCAGGTGATCTTCCCACCTCAGCCTCCCAAAGTGCTGGGATTATAAGCGTGAGCCACCGTGCCTGGCCTATCAGTTTCTTTAGTGACCTTCCAGGGTTATCTTATATAATCAAATAAAGCAGATCTCACACACACACACACACACACACACACTTTTTTGTATATACGCCTGGTAAAATTTCCTCTTCACCGTTCTTGAAGACACTTTCCTCACCTACCAGTTTTAACTGGGAAGTGACTCTGTGTCAGACTGGGAGGAACTTTTTCACTGGTTTTCTTTGACCACAGAGTGTTCTACTGAATGGATGTACCATCATGTACTTAGTAGTAGTCCCCTTTTGATAGACATTCAGGTTGTCACCAGGATTTTTTTACACGAGCAATGCTGCAGTGAACCTCCTTGTGCACAAGCCATCTTCTCTGTGCTGGGGTCTATCTTTGGATACGTTCTTAGAGGAGGAGCTGGTGGGAAGGTCCTATGCATGCATAGTTCTCGGAACTCTCCCCCAGTGCTCTCCCTAGTGGTTGTACTCACCCTCCCACCAGCTGTGTAGGGGAGCGCCTGTTACCCCAGAGCCCCTCCCTGTGTATTATGTGACCCTTTTTTTCCCCCCCCCGATCTGATAGTGGACAAATGGCATCCCAGTGTAGGGTTTGTGGTTGTATTTTTTTTTCTTCCTCTTTTGTTTTTGAGATGGAGTCTCACTGTGTTTCTCATGCTGGCCTCAAACTCCTGGGCTCAAGCAGTCCTGCCTCAGCTTCCCACATAGCTGAAACTGCAGGTGCATGCCACTGCACCCAGCCTAATATATTTTTATTTTTATTTTATTTATTTATTTTTTTGAGACGCAGTCTTGCTGTGTTGTCCAGGCTGGAGTGCAGTGGCATGATCTCGGCTTACTGCAGTCTCCATGTCCTGGGTTCAAGCAATTCTGCCTCAGCCTCCCAAGTAGCTGGAATTACAGGCGGGTGCCACCATGCCCCACCAATTTTTGTATTTTTAGTAGAGATGGGGTTTCACTATGTTGGCCAGGCTGGTTCAAACTCCTGACCTCAGGTGATCTGCCCGCCTCGGCCTCCCAAAGAAAGTACTGGGATTACTGGTGTGAGCCACCACACCTGGCCCCAGCATAATTTTAATTTGTAGTTGGGAGTGAGCCCCATCCCATCGCCAGCCTGTGCTCTCTCCCCAAGGGACCTGCTGCAGCTGGGAGGGGAGCTGGCCCGGACATCACGAGCTGTCCAGGAGGCAGGCCTGGGACTGAGCACGGGCCTGCGGCTGGCAGAGAGCCGGACTGAGGCAGCCCTGGAGAAGCAGGCCCTGCTGCAGGCCCAGCTGGAGGAGCAGCTGCAGGACAAGGTGCTCCGAGAGAAGGACCTGGCCCAGCAGCAGATGCAAAGCGACCTGGACAAGGCTGACCTCAGTGCCAGGTAGGTATGTGGTGGGTGCCGCACAAGGCAGGCGTCCCTGCAGAAGGTAAAACTGGAGAGTTGGGGAGAAGGGAGCATCTGTTCACTAGGCACAG